TTTTTTAAATTATCTCTCGTAATATTTTCTTAAGAAGTTCCAAAGATCTAAAAATATGTTGCAACATAATACCCGTCCAGTAGAAAGAAGATTTAGACCTTGAAGCGAATTTAGAAATATATATAAATACGATCCTGCTTTTTCAAATCATCTCTCATTTCAATAAATAGAAATAAAGTAATTTCTGGAATTAGAACAAACGGCGTTACGCTTCAAATTAAATCGGAGATCTTTTAATTTTCACTGCAGAAATCCAGATGACAAAAACGTGTTATACAAAGATACCTTTTGGATCGAAATTATGGAAATTATTTCAATCAAAATTGCGCTTCCTTCAAAATCAAAGGCCTTCGTAGTTTTTGCAGAAGAGATCCAAAGACTAGAGATAGCTTATAAAAATAATCATTTTGAATGGAGAAAAACAAGACTCAAAAACAAAAGTAGAGGCAACTTATGTAATTGTGATTCTTTAATTACAACTCGTTGTGTTTTCCCGACAAAAACAAACCCCAGAACAAACTTTTGAATTAAGACAAATGTAACCTCAATTCCTATGAAATTCGAAGCCCTCCTAGGTCTCCTAGCTTCCCTATATAAATCTCGAGTCTGGAGATATATTTGGAACGATACATCTCGAAGGGTCAGAAAAACAAGACCTTAGATTTAAAAAATCATTCGAATATGAACACCAATGCTTTAGCGCTCTTTTGAAATACCCTTTCGCTACGTTTTCCTGAGGAAATCAACATATCCGAGAGCCTATAAAACTGGAGACCTTTCAATTTTTTCGCTGAAGAAATCTAACGAAACAAATGGTATTAAACTATATATTTTACGACGGTTAAAAAATAACTTTACCTTGAAACAAATTTTGAGGCAGTTCTAAATGCAATTGCACATTTTTTAATTATCTTTTGTTATAATGTGTACCTGAAAAGATCCAAATCTCTAAGAGCCTATAAAATTGGAGGCCTTTGAATTTTTCGTTGAAGAAATCTAACACTGCAAATGTTATTAACTATACTCCCAAGATAGTAAAAAAAAAACTGAACCTTGGAACAAATTTTGAGGCAGTTATAATTGCAATTGCATATCTTTGAATTATCTCTCGCTATAATGTGCACCTGAAAAAACTAAAATTCATTGGCGCGGAGCAACAGATAATTAAAGTTATTCCTGGAAGTAGGACAAACAAAATCACACATCGTATCAAATCAGAGGCTCTATTATATTCTCTGAATAAATCAAAATAATAGGAATGAATTGTGAAACGATATTTCTTGAATAGAAAAAATAAATCCTAAAAATATCGAAATTATTTCTAAAATTGGGAAGAACGAAATCGCACTTTTCTTTAAAATCGAAGGCCTATTTAGTTTTCGCAGAAGAAATCCAAATCCTAAAGACCTTCCTAAACAGTAATTCTTGAATCGAAAAACAAGATCTTAAAACAGATTTAGAAGAAAACAAAAATGTAATTTGATTCTCAAACTTCTGCCTCGCTATGTTCCCCTGAAGAAAATAAAGGCGACGGAAATTCCCATGAAAATACTGTAGATATCTATAGAACGATTTTCTTGGATGGCGAAAAACCAGACGATGCAAAAAATTTACGAGTTAATACAGATAACATCGTGCTATATTAAAATTATCTTTCGTCATGTCTTCTAAAGAAATCAATATTCTTACGAGCCTTTTCAGTTTTTGTGTAAGAAATGAATTATTGCAGAAATCTTGCTAACAAAACGATACTATAAAGTAGACCTTAAAACCATGGCCTATTTAGAAGTAAAGATAAAAATAATTGTCCCATCAAATTATCTGTCGTAATGTTTATCTGAACAAATCAAAATTCCTAATCGCTGCGTAATAGAAATTTATTGCCATTTCTGGAATTAACACAAAAGAAATTGCGCTTCCAATAAAAGTAAAGGCCTTTTGAGTGTCCTTCGAAGAAATCTGAATACTAGGTAAGTTAAACATCGATAATTTTTGAGTGAAATAATCATTATAATCCTAATGAGGTTAAAATTCCTGAGAGCACTGACAAAATTACGAAACAAATCCAGAAGTAATCAGTATGTAATAACCCTTTTTAAATCATCTTTCGTTGTTTTCCTCACGAGATCAAAATTCCTAAAATCCACAGGAAATTTAAAGCTTCTCGTTGAATAGAGGCAGCAATCACCTCGAAAAGTTCACTTCTAAAAATATTGAAAGCCTTTTTACGTTTCCACTGAGGAAGCCTAAGTACGAGTGATACATTACAAAATGACAATTCTCGAATCGAGGAAAACCCAAAACAAAACAAAAATCCAATTTAAAAGCCAAATATATATAAGGTAATTGTGCTTTATAAAACCACCCCTAGTTATTTTTCCTGAGCAGAGAAATCGAAGTTCCTTAAAGCAACAGAAATTCGAAAATATTTCTTATAATGAAACGTTCGAAATTGAAATAAAACAGCTCTAGGTTTGGTTTCTCGGGTGCTCCTGAAAACTTATGCGATTTACAATCTACGGTCGAAATTCTGCCAAGTTTTAAAAATTAATGTTAATTCCGCTTATCTGTCTCCTCCAGCTTGAACTTGTGCTTGTGATTAGCCATCGCTTTTAACCCTCTTGACGACCCTTCATTCTTGTTTTAAATTCGCTGTTTCCTTTTTCGTCTGTGAATAAATAAAGCAAACAAAAACATTAAAAAGTGTTACAAGTTGGAGCCACGACTTTGACCACTAAAAGTATTTAATAAAAGGAATGATAGCAAAACATCAGGCTCCGGTTGTTCGAAGGTCAGATAACACTATCCACTAGATAAATCTCTATCTGGTGAATAACGCAGTACGTTTTATTATTAGTTATCCACTGGATAGCGATTTATCCGTTGGATAGAGTTATCCACCCGCTATACAACTGGGCCCAGAGCTTTAAGTATCAAAGGGAGAGATAATAACTTTACAAAGCTAAAAGGCACTCAACAACAAAAAAATCAGTTGCAAAAAACCGCCATATTGTTTGGACAGGTCACTTAAGTTGAACAGTATTCGAATGCGAAGTGTATCGTGCTGGGTTAAAGATAGTCTTCATTTTTGTTAAGTCCTACGAGTGGAAATTTATTAAATGTTTTGGCAGCAAAATGAAGATTTCAAGAATACAGTATAAATCCCTTAGTAAAGCAAACGTCACCTTCTCTAACACACGACTGATTTACAATATCACCGCGGAACATTTTAAGTTAAATTTTAGCAGAGTAAAACTACTTACCAGAAAGTGGCCAAAGCTTGCAAACATTCCCCCATTCCTGTGGATATCTTCAGTATTTGATTCTTTATCTCCAAAAGGGAATTTTCTTCTACTAAGAGAACGCTTCCAAACACGCCCGCCATGAACAACGTGGTCTTTTGCTTCATGAATATGGATTTGAACTTCAAATCTCCACGGACAAAGTCTCACAATGTTTTGCATAGTTTTGCATACCACTCTGCTGAAAAAAAAAATGGATAAAAATGGATATAAATGCCTCTCATAGGACATTTTCTGGACGATTCGTAAACCACACCAAACTAAGGAAAAAACTGATAAAAAAACTTAAAGCTCTTGATGTTTTTTCCGCCTTAAATTAGTTCCCCTCCTGAAGGAAAAGCCATTTTCATTCTTCGAACCTTATCTCCTTAGTCTAACTAAAAGCTTGTCATATTAGGGCCGAAATAAAGGAGTGTCAAATTTGCCTTGCAAACGATACTGTTGGACATTCTGATACTTTTTAAGCATATCAGTTTATCTGGTCATCAGTCATTCTGCGAGACACAAATCTTTCAATATGTGGAACCTTTTACAAGCTGACATCAGTATCCACATTATCCATACTGACAAGGAAAATTTGTTTAATAATCAAAGCTTCTTAGCTTGGTGATCATTTCCGCGATTTTTGTTATCTTAGTGAACGATTCAGCAGGATGTTTGTATGGAGAAATTAGATGTTGGTCACTCTTCGGGTTTAAAGGGTTAATGTGGCAGTTTCATGGAGATCACAACAATGTTAAATTAAATTATTAGTGTATTATTAATCCCCAATTCCATGCTAAGAACATACAAGGAAACTTGTTTTTAAACCTCTCGGCAGTAACGCAATAACACTTACCAATAAAATAAAATTCAATAAATGTTGCACTTGGCTTTAAAACAAACAATCTGTCCAACCGCCATTAATAGGCGTCACCATCTCTCGTTATTTTGTGCTTAACTATCGACAAAAGCGGCTTTGTCACTAATATTCTCGCCCCAGAAATTTTTCCTTTAACATGAAATGGTTGTAAGTGTGATTATTTTCATAAAGGCCTTAGACGGCATTTCAGCATTACTTAGTGTTAACCGGCCTTTGTAACTTCCTGTCCTTGTAAACAGTATGTTCTTTTCAGCGAGGTCCACCTGGGGTTGACTGAATTTACAATTAAAAAAGTATGCAACCATAGCATTTTAAGCGACCTTCCTTTTAGTCTTGTTTGCTTTTTCATAATCGTATTTACCTACAGATTGAAGGTTACTCCGCTTAGGTGAAGCAATGATGAATAAAGCGGATTAAAACTTCTGCAATCAGCTGATGCGAAATGCATTGCAGTGGGTCTATGTGAATGGCTCGGTTTCATCAACTGAGTTGATAATTTAAATTTGCCATCGTAAGAGCTTCTAAAGCTACAGACTAGAAGCTTTAGAAAATCTTAACGGTGACCAATTTACTTTGTCAACTCAGTTAATAAGACCAAATCATCTTGTAATACCCCTTCTCCCCACGTAAAATGTTCCGGGAGGGCATTGGAGACTTGTCGATCAAGTCGCGGAACACACTTTCAGGCTCCAAGGTAATCTTAGAGAGATGGAAAGCACTGTAAACTAGAGGAGAGAGTGTTGTAGGAGCGGTATTTTTTAATAAAGGAAACGCCATGTTTTTTAGTGTACCGTGTTTCGTATGGAAAGACAAAAGCAGAAACAACACAAGAGGGACATTTTGTAAGAATTTTCCTTTAGTTCAGTAATGTGAATAGCCTTTTACATCGAGTACGAGTATATTTAACAGAATCATATTTAGCTGTAAAATGAAGTTTACATAACAATAATTTGATAATTTCTACCACTCTCTTTTTCAATAATTATTAACCAATGCTTGGGGACATCTATATTCCTACAGAGTACAGAGTTTGCAACATTTCCTGCGCGTCTTCAACCACTTCCTTGTTCCCAGAAAAATTACGGATCAAGCCGTTTACTCTCGTGTAAATAGTTATATTAATTTTCATTCCAGTTGATAAATATCTGTTGATAACTCAAGTGTTTCGTCTCATATCGCTCGCACAATTATTTTCACCAAAGAAGTTCACATCGTTCCAACTGTGGAGAACGTTCTTGCGAATTCACGCATGGAATCAATTGGGAGTTCATCTCCAGTCCCTCCTCTGACGAGTTTGGCCTGATCACTGCCCTGAGTCAACGGTATGAAGAACTGGTAAAATCTTCCACTTGTTCATTGTATTGACCACGAATCAGCCGACGTTATCTTACGGAACTTCCAAGAAGAAACCTAAGAAAAACACACGACAGAAAACTCATTAAACCTCTACGCCTTAACATCAGTATGCATATTCTCTCTTCTGTTCCCTATACATTTCTTTACGTGATCGTAAATTCCTCTTTCAATTTCAACGCCCTGCCAAGCAAACGGGTATTGAGAATTTGGATCCAAACTTCTCAGGAGAAGGAAAACAAGACGATTTTAAGAGGAGCACTTCTCAGATGGATTAAAACACAAAGAACATCTCTCAAGCATAATAATTATACTGATGATCAATAAACATTTTGCTTTCCAATTATGTCGTTACCATTCATTTCTGCATTTTACGGCTTCCTTCCGGACCAATCTCTTCTTATCATCGACTGAATCAGCAAGCGCTTTACAAACTTTGGTTTTGTAGGGGTAGACCTGCCAGAAGAGAACGGATTATTAATCAAAATTGTTAAAACATGACTTATGGAAAGCACAACATGGAAGGCTGAATGATAAGTAAAAATACAAAAATGCAAATGCAAGATTACCACGTGGTGAGGTAAAGTTGTCAAAGCTCCAAGACACTTGAGAGCTTCCATTCTAACTTTCTGTTAATAATAAAAAAAAAAACAAAGCAATACATTTCGTTTCAGTTTTTTCCAACATAAGAAAACCATCGTCAAAAGCCCAAATCAATAAAACGATGCTACGCTCCTTCACATAAAATAGTTGTCGCAGAGATCATCAAAATTTTCGACAATTGTTTTCCTCTGTTATGAGTGTCTCCAAAAAGTGAGGTTGCTATATCCTGAGAAACCATTCCTATTAAATCGGCCGAAAATACTTTCCTCTCGTAACAACATAATTACTAGTGGTTGCGAAATACAAAAACTGGCAACAAGCTTATTTTGGGGGCGGGAACAAAGTGGGCATCTTTCTCACTTGGGTAGCCTATCAGATGACAGGATTGACTTCATCCTGCCCGCACGAGAAGTCAGCCACAAAACCTTTTTCAACAACACGTTAAAAGACAAAAGATGCCGTATCGCCGAGTATCACTGCCACAGTGACCTCCCATCTTTCTTGCCATCGACCACGGACCAAAATGCTACAAACGAGAGAAGAACATCGCAATTACCATTGAGAGTTGAAACTTTGTCAAACCCAGAAGCATGGGAACCAGTGAAGTCACTTGACGACTGATAATCTCTGGCGCATCCAAAACTAGTGAGTACATAGTCTGTAAAGTGGACAGCTTTAAACTCTGTTCATCGCAAGACAAGGACTGAACCAATAACGGCATCAACTGCAGCGAGCAAAAAAAAAAAGAAAAAGTAACGTAAACCATAGTAATTCTCAAGTACAACACCACAAGAAAGCTACTTTTTTAAAGTGCTTTTCGGTTGAGTGTCTTAAGACCAAAACCAAAGTAATCACAACAGCCAATCAGAACAAAGGAAAATATCAAACGGAGGCAATAAGAAATCAAAGTAAAAACACGGAAATTCCCTAAAGCGTGGGAAAGCGCGGGCAATCAGGAGTGGTGATTACGAGTGGTTTTAGTTTTGAATCTTATTGGTCTAGAAAGTGGCGCGAGTTTTATGGGCCAATCACAGAGAAGAGTAAAACAAAACAAAGCAATGTCGGATTACTTTCTACATTCGATTAAAAATGACTCCAAATGTAAAGCTCAACAAATAAGACTTGTTACTCACGTTTGGCACTTCACTGAGCAGAACCTGTTTAGGTATCCACTGTAACAGATGAGACAAGGCACAGAGGTAATGGTGCTTGAATTCTACACAAATAAACCAAAACAAGGAGAGAAGGAAAAGTGCATCTTGAAATAAGTTATGGAAAGAACAAATTAAACTTACAATGTAAAAGGTTCTTTTCCTTTTCAATCTTTAATTCCAAATCACCGACCCTAACCGACAGGACTTACAACTCCCCTCGCTCCTTTAAGCCGTTGCTGCCTTAATCTTATATCGATGGTGAAATGATGCTAAACCCAAAGAAAAAGCCGAACGAAAGTCAAAATGAATCGGAGAGTGATGAAAGACGTCGCTGAACAACAGTGCTATTTTAGATAAGAGAAATTTGATCAGCACTTACATGTTAAAAAATATTAGTTTACATGCATTGACATCTTCATTAAATCACTCTTGTTGAAGTCACCACAGCGTCCACATTCAGTTGAGTACTTCTTAAGATTTATATCTCCAATCTCACCTGGTTTTGCAGAGTGAAATCCTCCTATCAACTTAGGAGACGTCTCCATAAAAAGTCGTTGACGATACATCATCTGTTGACCGCGAAAACAGACAGGTTGATCATTAGGCATAGGAAATCCCAAAATTCTCCCAATGAATTTTCATAGACAGAGCTACTTCTTATTCCGAGGTCAAGAATATCCTCCTATTACCCTGCACTATTTTCCTTTCGTCATGTAATCTCTACACAGAGGCCAATAAAATTATAAGGTGGACTTTCTTTTTCACCAAGGTGATCTCACTACTCTTGAAACATTTACAAAGGAGGCAAGGGCCAAGCCCTCTTATGTGATTAGCTGTGGTATAATACATTTCCGAAATATTTGGAGCATTCAAGTTTACACGGTCGATAATATGGTTGCGGAAATATTGTTGTGCATTGTTAGACATTTGTGTACCTTGAAGTTTAGGGGAATTTCACACAAAATAAATAACACACTAAACTCAATTTCTCTTAGAATTGAGTGAAATAAAAGTTCATGCCTAACCTAAAGAGTATTTTGTTTGACAATACATAAGTCAGATGCTTACCCTGTAATTCACGTGCATTTTAATGCTCATAACCTCTTCATAGTCCGCCATGATGATGTAAAAACCATCTCCTGCTGCACGTCCGACATTTTTATCGACCAATAGGCTCAAAATCTGCCGAAAAACAAAGGTGTGAATGGGACATTAAACAAGTTTAGTCATGAAAGCTAGCCTCTGACTCTTAAACAAAGGCGAAAAGATTTCTTTCAAGATAACATGAAAAAGGCAACATATAGTGGTAAATTAAAACGAGATGCAAAGACTTTTTTAATATCAAAAATACTCAACTAACCTTATCAATAAATAAAGGCGCCAATGGATGCGACCGAATGACTAAGGCTTTTGTCAACTGCAAAGAAGAATCTCCATTAACAAAAACAGAATCAGATGGCACCATATAGTTATTTTACAAGCTCGGTTTCAGTGGTCATGAGTTTGGCTAAACTGACTGTGTTTATGGGCTTAAGTAACATCACAAAATAGGCTGAAATAAACTTTAGGAAAAAAATAACAGGACAAACATAAATAAATTGAAATTTAGCAGTGCCACATCCATTACATAGCTCTTTGATTACTGTTTTCTTGGGTTGAATTGGAATTTGGAGCGCTGGTTTCATTCTTCAGGATTGATCATAATTTAATTCTCTCATCAATCTTTAAACACCATCGGCAAACAGGTCATGCTAATGACAAGCAAGAAAATAGTACCTTAAGGGACATTGTTTGACTGTATCAAGAATCTCTCAGCAGTAACCAACAAAGAGACATATAGACATCCGCGGAAAGACTGAAGTTAGAATAAAGATCTTACGAGCGAAGAATTGAAACCTATTTGATGACCAAAAAAATAAGATGGTTTGTTTTTCCTCTTGTGAGACCTCAAGCTACCTTGACCGTTAAAATCTGGAAATTTGTCTCTAACTCTCCTTAATGACAGGGAAATCTGTAATTTGCATCCCTCCAATAACTTTCTGCAGTAATTTTGACATATGAATACCCAATCCGTATTTATGTTTAATCACTTATTTAAGTTGTATTTACATAAAACATTATCACATCATACCCAGAGCCAAGTTATGGTGGCTCGTTTCAGTGAACCCTCTTTTTCACTGACTTGCCATATCTTGCTCACCAATCCATTTACTACCGAGGTTAATTCATCACCTGAAGTTCGTTAACAAAAGTAGTTAACTACAATGAGTAGGGACTGGGGGTGGTGCAGTTACAGGGAAGGGTGGGCGGAAAGGGGGAGTTCATCGAACAAAAGCACCTCCCGCAGAGGTATTTTGTTGAAATTGCGGTTTATTGTTTGAATCAGATACCTCCTGCATTTGGTTACAATTGGATTACTGGCTTATTCAGTACAATAACTCATTACCCAGCTACTAGAATCCACAGTAAAAGGGAAAAGAGAGAGAACTAAATTGTGGTAGAGGGGCTAACGAAGGGCTGACGAAGGGCTGACGAAGGGCTGACGAAGGGATGACTAAGGGATGACGAAGGGATGACGAAGTGATGACGAAGGGCTAACGAAGGGATGACGAAGGGCTGACGAAGGGCTGACGAAGGGCTGACGAAGGGCTGACGAAGGGTTGCCGAAGGGCTGCCGAAGGGCTGACGAAGGGCTGACGAAGGGCTGACGAAGGGCTGACGAAGGGATGACGAAAGTATGACGAAGGGATGACGAAGGGATGACGAAGGGATGACGAAAGGATGACGAAGGGATGACGAAGGGCTAACGCTCGAGACGTCAGCTTAAAAACTCTCTACGGTGGCCAATTTATATCATCAACCCAGTTAATAAAACAAATTAAGATAGGGTAGATAATGAATAGTAAACAATAAATGTCGTGTATCCCAGAGCTCACTATATCATTGGTGGAGAATCAAGCAATTGCAATTTTGCGTATTAGTCGCCTAAAAAGAGTAAGACCTGGCTGTAAAAAGTACACTCCACTGATTCTATCCTTCATTCGCTTGTTTGGGCGTTCATGTTTAGTTCAATCATCCTATCATTCCTGTTTTCTCCTCCTTTTCTTCTTCCGTTGTTTAATTTTATAATTTTCCTTTATGTTTCTTTCCTGTGTACAATCTGTTAGTCACACGTTTGTTTGATCTCTAGCTAGTTCGCTCATCCATTGAAAACAAAAGGCAGCAATAAGGAATCTTTTGAGAAGGCTTAATCGGCCTCCAAACAATAACGAACATGAAACAGATTGATTGTTCATCACCGTGGTAAGTATTCATAACATAACCAAACTCACTGTACCTTCAGGCAACTTGTTAATAATCCCGGCAAGGCACTGAGCCCCACTCTCTGCACTTCTGCTATAATCACAATGGCATGCTATTTGCTGAAGCCTGGGAATGAGTTCTGAATGTCGTGGGACGGTAACCTGATAATATAAACAAAAACTTTTGTGCTTCCATCAAAACACTTACGAGAGCTGATTCAAAACTAGTGCACGGTTAAGTAAAGAGCTCGGGTTGGTTGTTATGGCATTAACCAGCATTCTAGCTCTTTAAAATTTCTGTAAGACTAAATCCAAAATAATCATAAAAGCCAATCAAAATGAAGGGAAGCATTCCAAGGAGCCAATGAAAACGCAAAAGCCAACGCACGTAAACAGCCCTAAGTAACAAGGACATGATTGGTTTAATAATACTAATGACAATACCTCCTTAATAATAACAAATAATAATAATTAATAATAACAATAATAAGAAAAAAATAGCAAAAATAACATTAGTAGTAGCGATAATCAACAACTACTCACCAAAGTGGAGGTGAATGGTGGTGTATATTTACCGAGCTGCAAAGCGGCTCGGTAAATATCCTCCACTTAAACTGACACTGGGTGAATACTTGTTTTAGTATATACCACACAGATACCAAAAATTTAGTTTATTAATCTCAATATACCGGAAAGTGGTGTCGGAAATTTAGGTCTTAACGCGTGGTTTTGTCTCTTTGGCTGCTCGGAGGTGAACAGTACTTGCTATTCACTTCCGAACTGGCCAATCGGCGCGCACGAAAAGCACTTTTCACTTGTGTGGTATATAATAATTACAATTAAAGTAATAACGATAATAATAATCGGAAACACTTAAGAGAGACTAAACACTTCAGTTATTGAACTGTTATCATTGTGGACCGTGTTAGCTAGGAGGATGGGGTGAATAATGCTGGCCCAGATTACATACAACACTGAATTGAAATTTGCGTTGCACAAGACTGCGATAGAGTGATGTAAAGCTAACCAACCTCCCGTCTTGCAGAGCATAAGGTGGCTGTTAGCAGTGATACAAGTTGAGTTTGTTCCCATGGTGATGTGGACTGAAAATAAATAAATAAAAAAATTAAATTATATATCTATATAACTTATATATATAAATGTAGCCTACGCAGATCGCTTTCCACATAATGAATGTACAAATCTCATGTTTACATATTGATAACATGAACGAAATGTTTACCTCAAATTGCAAACATTTTTTATCAACTGTTTCTTGGAGAAAGGAGGAGTTTCCATCCAGATATATCCCAACAAAATCTTCGAGAAGATTACGTGCCGCTCTGTGAAAAATAAACAAATTAAGAAGACAAAATCACAGAACGAGATGATGTCAATAACAACATCAACAACAATAACAAATGATAGAGGCAACATTGAAAGTACTAGTCAATCTTAATCAGCTCCATTGAGCCCCTCTGTGTGAGGGGAAAGTTTGTATAAATTAATTACTTTTTTCATACACATCGCATCAATGGAGGAGTCTACTACTTCACAACCCTTGACAACTGGAGAGCAAAAAAATTCATTTAGTTTCTTTGATTTGGGTTCATACATCATCACTTCTATTTCAAATGACGCACACAAAAAACCGCAGTTATCAAACCATTTTAATGCAGGTGAGCAAGACTTTGGAACAACTCTCATCTCAAGCATGTTGAGTGTAAAATTGCAACTATGTAAAACTGAACAAGTTAGGAGTAGTATCTACTCAAGAGAAAGAAAAGATAGAAGAGACTGTAATAAAAACCTACTCGATGTCCAAGTTACTAGTCACAGTCCTTAAAATGGCAGCAATGGTGTCTAAAACATCCTTTGAAATGGCTCCAGTAGTTCTCTCCTTAGGATCTGTAAGCCAAACAACGGATAAATGTTAGAGAGTACTATGTAAAACACACACTATTGAACATTACTGATGTCAACCAGCTGAATCACAGAAAATGTAACTGTGATTAAGGCTTTCTATTCCCAACTGCTACAAAAAAAAAAGGGTGGAAATTTTTGAAGTATCAACAGAATTTCTAGCTGAATGAAAATAATAAAAGATTTTGTTTTTACTATTTTTGGATTCCACTGGCTGTGATTACAAGATAACATGACTAACAACTCCACATCATCAGTGAACTTTTAGGAATTCAAATATCAGCATCAACAATTACCACTCAAAGCTGATTTGAGAACAATCTTCATGATATCAGGGACAAGAGATTGTTTGAAGTATGCAGCTGAAGTTATTCCCTTCTGAATTGATCCTGACAAATTAAACAATATTATTATAATCAAACAGATTACATACAAACATCTTCAAAATACCAAACCAATCATATCCATTTACGGTCAGATGGAGTTGAAAATATTTGTTAATGCAACAGATCAAATAAGATTAATTTTTTTTGCAACGACCACAACATCCTTATCCCTTTAACTTCCAGATCAAATTTGTCATTCTCCTTAATGTCAACCATATACTTCCAAAAATGTTATAGTTTAGAGAATTTAGTATTGGACCAAGCAATTATTCCCAAAGTGATATTTTTCTTCATTCTCATAACTCATCTGGTTGATATTGTATTAATATGGTAAGGAGAAATTCTGACTTGATCACTCATGGGTGTTAAAGGATTAATTGGTGGTTCAAAAGCAATCCATGATAATACAGCCCTCAGATACTCCATGATTGATCAAAGAGACTTACACCTCTTTTTCAGCCAATCAGATGCAAAGCTAAAACCAAAAGCAGCTCACATTCTCTCACTTATGGTCACTCACATTACCTCACTTAACCCTTTACACCCTAACATCAGTATGCATATTCTCCATACAGTTCTCTATACATATCCTAAGGTGCTGACGAGGAGAATTTGTTTAACAATCAGGAGTCTCTTTAGTTGGTGACCATTTCCTTAATTCTCAAGACCTTAATGTGCAATTCAGGGGTGATATTGTGAGGAGAAATTAGATTCTAGTCTCTCTTAGGGGTTAGAGGGTTAAAGCATTTTGGTTTTTTTTATCTTTTTTGATCTCTCATGCTCCTTGTGAACTGGTTGGCTGTGATGTTCCTTTGGTTTTACAACAAAAAAATTAAATATGTCCTTGTTCTACATGTACTAGCCTTGACGCTCCCACGGAGACATTTTACATTTTTTTGGAAGATCTTCCATGTTTCTATATTGATATCATGAAATAGTTTTCTTTAATTTCTATGTGTACTCAGGGAGACAATCAAAAATTAAAGGAAAAGACAATAAATATCAGGCCAAAAGTAGGAATTGGGTAAGATGGCAGCCCCTGAAAGTGGACTACTAGTTTTGAGCTCTCGTTTTGTGCCACTTTTGAGTCCTGTACAAATAACTACACAAAACCATAACAAAGTAAAAAAATACATACCTTCTACAATATTCAAAATACACTGAAAGACTGCACAAACTTGGGACTGAAAGTCTTTGTGAGAATTCATTTCTGAACAAAGTTTAAAGTTCTCTTAAAATAAGCTTATAAAACATAAATCCATACACAGAAACAATAGCAAGAGTGACACTGATGGCACTGATTCACAAAATATAATACTATTGAAGCTGGAAGTTTTTGATTCAAGCCCCAAACAATGCTCTTAGGAAAGACTACCTGTGATTACAATGTCATCTCCTTTAGGAGTAGTTAAGAGAAGATACACAAGGAAATTTGTGGGATTGAAGAGAACATTTTAAGGTGACTGACACCATGAAATAATCGTATGTAAGGAAAAACTACCACCAAAAAGGAATAAATTCACCAAAAATCTACAACCTCAACAGTAGTTGAGGTAGGTGAGGGTAGACACAGATTTTCAATTACACACTCGAAAAATGTAGGCCACCTTTTGAAAATGAGTAAATTGTGACACAGATTTTAAAAAAAGGTGGTGTAGGATGGTTCAAGAACACCTGCCCCTTAAGCTAAAAAGTTGTTCAGTCACAAATAAGGTGGGAAGTAGATTGTGACAGATGAGAAACAGATAGTATCAAGTGACAAGAGCCCTGGTTAGGCAGAAAAGATGATTCCACAAAAATGGACCTCAGAGAGAGCTTGTTTTGTAACAGATAAAGTCTCCATCAATTCAAAGCTTCAACATCCTCACCCAGGTGACCCTGGGCATTTGACCATTGTCTATTCCTTAGGTGTGGGAAATTTGACACAAAAGGCCTTCCCAGAGCTGAGGAATTTGAACTGGAAGTATTAATTTCTTCAAGTGGAATAGAAGTGCTGTTTTCTTCAATATGGAAGAATAAATTTAATACATTTGTTCTTTGGAAGGGGTATCTCACCATTTAATTCAGCAATTGGGTACAGCATTTGAATGTAATTTAGGCCAAGAGGGACAGGAATTTGAACGAACCAATCTTCAAAAGCTCAAATGCCTGATGGGTCTGTGAAGGGAGGGAGATGTTGAAGCAAAAAATTGATTGATGCATTAGGCCAAAGCAAAGGCACCAAGTCTGATTTAATCAATGTGGCATGCAGGTAAAATATCTTTTTCCAGAGACTCACCATTACACAAGCGCTGCACATGTTCAATAAGCCGTGGGATTACTTCATGAATGATTGACTCATCCATGCACAAAGCACCCAGAGTATTAAGGACACACTGGTGACTGACAGGGGTGGTCAGGGGTTGATTGTTGTCAATATCCATAGCTGACCCTTCCTCTAACAAAGAATAATAAGCATTTGTTTGAAAGGATGCATGAAAAATGTGGTAACTGACATCTGATAGACTTCTAGATCCTCCAAATTCCAAATTACTTGACTTCCCACATGAAACTGGGGATAGTAGTTGTAATAACCAAAGCCTCTGATAAACTGATAAACGCACTTCTTCATTTGACTAAAAATTCCACCCCTAAAAAGCAGTAAATCTGTGCTTTTCACAGTCTCTCTAGATCTTAAAATCCTAAGGAAGCTATAGGTGATAAGTTTTCTCTGTTATATAACAGTAGCTGTCATTAAGGTAATTACTCCACCCTTCCTTTTGCAGACATGTACACAATAACTTTGGGATTAATTGCAGTTTCTGTCAATAACAAAATTTAGTTTTGGAACATTACCTGCTTTAAGATGCATCTCCAGCAGGGGTAGCACAGTGGAAATGATGATGGCAGGATAATTCCTGGATAACTGTGACAATGCAGCAGAGCTAATATGGCTGAAAACAATAGAGAAAGATATTTCTACAGTTCATAAAACCAAATGAATAATTGGAAGGCAGGAGGCAAGGCATTTTTAGATGCTCTTCATAATCACAGCCCATGCTTAGTGGCTTTGCTTAACCCACAGTAAAAATGAACCTTGGAACTCAGTGGTTGAGGATTGTAGTGATGCTCTTAGGTTCAATTCCTTTAGGGGACTCAATTTTTCTTTCTTTGTCTTATGCTCATGAAAAAAATGAATAACACTTCTTTTATAAAACAAATTTACAATCAACCGAAAAATTTTTAGGGCTACATAACTCATTGCCTCAATTTTATATACTTCTTTCATAAAGGTGGGTATGCTTATTGATCTTTTTATGGGCACATTGATAATTATTGGATGTCAATTTTGCACATTTCATGAGGGCCAGGAAAGGCTATTTTCATGCATGTAAAAGAATAACAATAAAGCCCTCCAGTTGTAATAGAGGAAATGCTGCATATCACTGGATTATCATATATTTTGGAGAAAAAAAAAATACCTCAGAGAAGCTTCCTTGCTCCCAAGTACTATGGATGTAACATGCTCAACAAGCAACTGCACCTGTCAGATGTAAAGAAATTATTCACAGATTAAACCTTAAAGGCTGAGACTATCAGGGTCTCTCCATTTTAAAATTGCTGTTTGCAATCCATTCACAATATTCTCCACCATCCCTAGTCATTTCTCTCATATTCTTCCCTTTTGGTGTTTCATTCCCCATGGCAACAATTCTTTCAAGGTTCTATTTTAATTAAGTGGCTACTGTCAGTCTTGTGGACAATACGTTATTGGTGAATTGGCCAAGAATCACAATAAATGGCTCTGATCCAAAATGCTGAGTAAATGCATTTAGTGAAAGAGGCAGGGTTTGAACAAGCAATTTATCATCCATCATATTATGAATATGTTTTTTTTGTGAGAAGTATGCATAAAGCATTTTCTGTTTATTCCAACTCTTTTATATGTAATGAACATTACATATGAGGAAGTAGGAAAGAACCATTGATTAGTTTGATGGTTGTATCCTCTAGTGTTTTGTCCTGAACTTGCCTCTTTTTCTGTCAAAAGTCCTGCTAATTCAACAAGAACCATGAAACACTCCACTGTTACACTACATAAGGTGGAGCTCCAGTTTGCCAGGAAAGAAAATAATGTAGTAGACACTGCCTCCTTGTATTTGATCAATGGGCTGTCTAGAAATTAAAAAATGAATCAGATAACATTGCCTCTCAATGTCCATGAATTTTAAACAGTTCCAAAACATTACTGCCATACTTTTGCCAATTCAAAAATATCAATTCCCCTCACTAGTCGTTTCTTTTGCAGGAGTTACACTATATATTCCTTTGGGGAGCATTTGTGATAATGCAAAGAATGACTGCACATATGACTATTTCACAAGCTAAAAAAGATTCCTTAAAAGCATGATTTAATAAATTTCCATTTGTCAAAACAGCTGTGCATAGTATATGAAAACTTAAGAGAAAAACTAGATGCTAAATATTAAACCAGAGACAAATTTATCACACAATTTCTTTAAATTACCTCTATAACATCATTCAAAGACACCACATCATTGTTGTGTTTCAGATTATAATAATGAACTACTGTAGACTGTTATAATCTGAGTTGTCTTTATCGTATCACAATAGCCAATGCCAGACAAAGGGAATTGCATATTAAACAATTAGTTTTAAAAAGTTTTAAAACAAGAAAATAAATGGATGACAACCTAATTTTAATCAATGTGATGACCTTGCTAGAATAAAATCCCATCAAATGCAACAAAATTATTACCATCATTTTTAACAGTCTCCTATTCATATCTCACACTTACCAGCAGGATGTCTGTGAAAGGTTTTGGCAGCTCTAAGAAGATTTGTAATTATGTGAATAATATTCTTTTTATGAGATACCTAAAATTATAAAATAAAAACAGTAAAAAAGAACATTTAGTATTCACATTTGGGAAGAACAATAAGCAACACTAATAATAACAAAAAACATATAGTAATTTGAAATGTAATTTAGGCCCCCACAAAAGGAAGTTGAACTAATTTTGTGCATTCTTTCCATTTATCTTGGTAATTCACCAAAGTATTCATACAAGGGAAGATCCAAATCATTCAAATTTGAAATGCCTTAAATCAAATCTTTTTAAACTACAACAAACACATTCTCAAAGACTGGACCTGAAAAAAACCTCAAATACCTAGCCTTGGAAAATAAATATGTTAGAGCGTACTATTATCTAGTTAACTGTGAACAGCTCTTTTAATGCAGTTTCCCCATTTTCAAAGATGCCTCAAACCAAGCTAAGCGTAAACATTCACTGCTTAAGACACCAAATACATAAACATGGACTACTGTAAATTCCACTTCACTTACCTCAATGTCCTGTGTGAGTTGTTCCAGCAACAGAGGAAAGGTCCAATCAATAATTCTGTGGCAAGCAGGCTCTGAAAAAGAACATAACACTAAATGAATATGTCAAATTTACTTCTGGTCAAAGCAGTTTTAGTGTAACACTTCTAAATTCTCCCTACAATTTGAAAAAAAATTTTCTTTGATCCTAATTGATCCAGATTTTATTTCTGGCAAAAAATGGAAACTTTTGTGATTTCATTCAAATTAAAATAAGGATGAATTATTTTTACAGGTGTAAACAAAGATTCCTAAATTCAACTTTCTGCCATTACCAGAGTATGTTCTTGTCAGGTCGCCTAGGATTGATAGCAGAGGGGACAACAAGCACTTGCCATTTCAATTCTTCAAAGTTTGGACCAAGCTATACCTTATTGTGCAGAATAGCAATGTACCTCTACACATATCAGAATATTGTGTTCTTGTTCATAATTATTGTGTTTTCAGCAAAAATTTTTCCATTTACATTGTACCTTCAATTTGTAAAGAGCTAAAAAAAATCACCACACTCCTAATGTTAAATAACACGAGTCCTCATTGGTGCAAATTGAGTAACAAGGCTTGTTTGTAACATCTTAAACTCGTTAGAGGTTCTGTTGGAAGAATTTTTTCCTTCCCACTTCAGTTAACCCTTTCATTCCCTAAATCAGATCGGCAATTCATCTCTCTAGCTACTACACATTTCCTTGTAAATTGGTTGTGAGAATTTGGTGTTTGTTCAGTCAAGGTAGTAACTTAAGGAGTTTGAGTATTCTCACTACCAGTTTGCCGCATGATGTAGGGATACTATAGGGAAAAGTTACATGGTAATCAATTCTGGTAGTTTAAAGGTCACATACCTGTTGCTTGAGCCACAGCCTGTAAAATTCTTCCACACTGCCTCATCAGCTTAACGTCACTACCAGTCAGATGACTACAATCTGAGATGAAAATTTTAATTCAATTCATGATTTCTTTCTTTCTTAAAGAAGCTCTCTTGAAAGCCCCTTTCAACAACCTTGTCACCTCTGTCATTGTCTTGATCCCCTCCATTTCAATTTTTCAAATTTTAATTAGACTTAAACTCCCTGAAGTGTATACCATAAAGGTTTGATTTCATGGCAGTCAGTGGTAAGTTATCTAATGTCCTAAACCTTATATTCTAGGGCTAAAAATTAAAGTTCCTATTAACACTCAGGCACTTTAAAAATAACGTATGAAACTTTTAAAAATTTTTTGCAGGTTTGTAAAAACTGAACTGAAAAAACACCTGGGAATTCCAAACAAGAGCATCCTCAAGTTCCTCTTATTCACAAGAAGACCAGACATTAATTTTTTTTGCAAGAAAATACTAACCACAAACAAACGTTGTGAAGTAAGGTTTTCACTAGATTTATTTCCAACAATATGTTTCCATTTTTTTTTACACTTATTTTTTTAATGTTGTAACTTTTTAACACCTCTTTTCGTGCATTTGAAATTCTTTTACACATCATTTTTAAGTAATACAGTAAATAAATTGACTTAAAATTATCTCCATTGTCAACTTAAGTGCTATACATTAAAAAATCATCAACCTTTGAGATTAACAAATATCAACTATCACAACTGCCCTATAGTTTATCATTTATGACACTCTGAGTATCTTAAGTTACTGTTAAGTTACTGTAATATTTTTATTTGGGAGACTTACCCTTGTGGATAATTTCTAGAAACTCATCATATTTCTCCTTAGTATTTTCCTAAAAAAAAGCCTTAAATTAATGATCAAAGTAAAAAACCAAGACAATATGCAATAAAAAGTGATGCACTGAAAGTGATCTTATCATACAGTTCCAAATTTCAATTTGTTGTAATTGCTACAAATAATAAAGAAAGGATTCAAAAGATTAAAATGTCTTTTAGAAAAAAAAAAATTGACTTACATCCATAGATCCACAGAGGTTTTTAACAATGCTTGTCACTGCAGCCAGAGCAGCATCCTACAAAGTTATTGAGATACCGAAAACATTACTAAAGGAGTGAATAAATAAATGTAACTGACAGAGTGCATAATGTAACTGGTATAAGATTATAAAGAAGTTGAAGAAGTTGTCATAATAGTCAGTCCTTCTCAATTTTCATGTCACTGTTTCAGTCTCTAGTTTCAACAGTGAAAGTCCTTAAATCCTACTTACTGCCTGATTTTACACCAAGGCCCTCATTTGGTCAAAAAACAAGCTGAATATGTGCAAGCAGATCAAACGAAAGATGTAAAGAGTCATAAATCCTTTGACCCCTGAGAGAAACTAGCATCTAATTTCTCCATACAATATCACCCCTGAATTGTACATGAAAGTCGTGAGAATAAAGGATATGATCAGCAACTATAGAAGCTCTTGATTGTCAAACAAATTCTCCTTGACAATGCCTTAGGAAATGTAAAGAGAACAGTATGGAGAATGTGCATACTGATGCTAGGGTGTGACGGGTTAACACATTGCAACAAAACTGATAAACAATATTTTCATCCCAAGTCTGTACAGTAATAGCATCAATACATATATGGTATGTTTAAACTTACCTCTAACACAGGATTCCCCACATGGAAAACCTGGTTAACAAAAAAAAGAAGACATTAAATTTTAACTAATTGTCCAAAATGTATCCATTGAAAAGATATACCTAAAAAACTTACTGCACTTTTAATACTTGTCCAAAGAGGCTCCAAGTGCTCAACCAAATAATTGCTATGATACTCTTCCAAGCAAGATGACTATGAGATTGAAAAAAAATAATGAGTTAACAGTTTAGACATTCATTGAACCCTTTAACCCCTAAGAGTGACTCCACATCTTATTTCTCCTTATAGTGTCACTCCTGGATCAAACATTGAGGTCATGAGAATAAAGAAAATGATCAACAACTAATGAAGCTCTTGATTATTAACCAAATTCTCTTGACAGTTCCTTGGGAAATGTATACAGAACACTATGGAGAATATGCATTTGGATGTTAGGGTGTTCAGGGTTAAAAAAACATGACTGATTTACACTACAAAATACAAATCAAAATGAGTACAGTGAGATTATTTCAGGTTGTGTGACAGAATGAGAGACTTACCAGGGTCAATAAGGAGTCAATCTTGGCATCAGTGATGTCAGATGATAGCTTCTCCATAAGAAGTGGAAAGCAGAACTATTGCACAATTAAGATACAAGTTATTTCACCTTTTGTACTTCTTACTACTGTCAGTACACCAGAAAAGTTGTAATAAACTTGATACAGGTTTGGAAGACATGAAATATCAATTGCAAAAACAGCATAGTTCTGCAGTAGTTCATACATATCAAATGATGCCTTAATTGACCTAAATCATATCGCAGTCAAAGGCTGCTCTCCATTTATCAGAACTGTCAGGCTGAACCATCCAACGTCCGGTCAATCTCAGCCTGTCAATGTGTTAAGAGCCTTCCAGTACAATTCTTTGTACAAGTTTAGAAATTAAAAATGATTTTATAGCACATGTAACCCAAAATCATTTAGTGTGACACTCTTCCATCATATTCTATGGTCCACTTGTTTTCAGAGGAGCAAATAATTTACTTTATGAATTCACTGTCAAATTATTGTTTACAACTTACTTGAATGTTCAAATAACATTAAACCTTTAAATCCCAGGAGTGATTACCATGTAACTTCTCCATACAATATCCAAAAATTATCCAGCAAACAGGTCATGAGAATACTCAAACATGTCAAGTTAAAGTTTTTTTGTCTTGATCTAACACCAAATTCTCATAACTAATTTCAGAGGAAATACTTAGTAGCTGGAGGGGAGAATTGACCATAAGATCTTGGGAGTTAAAGGGTTAACTCACCGGGGCAAACTGATTTGTAGCAGCAAGACACTTTCGCAAACTCATCACCAAATCATCTTTTTTGATTCCATATGGATCATCTGAAGGCTGAGAAGATTACTTGTAAAGTGTTGTTTACTACCTTCTTTACCAACAACAGCCAAAATTGGTGCTTAACTAATACTTCTTGTGAATAAAAGAGTGAATTTTACACTAACAAGAAAATTTATACATGACTGGTTTGAAAAACTCTGGCCAAAATTTTTGTACAACCTCAGTATGAAATGTATATTAACTATAAAATAAATGGATTGAGTTTTCAAGACAATGTACAACTTTTAAAACAACATGAATAATGGATCCACTATGTTTGCCACTCAATACTTTGGCTTTCTTTTGAGCTTTGAAACACATTACTTATAATTGAAACTTGATGCCATATCATTTGATTTTATCCAGTATATCACTAGAAATCTCCTAACAATTGAATCCAAAAGGGTAAAGAACCAAAACTGTAATGTACAGTACAGCATGCATTTAGTTTCAAAAAGATGGGAATGGAATGTAACTTGACATGTATGGTGATGATCTTTTTTATCTCAAGTTCTTTTCATCTTATAGTTTGCCAATAGTTACAGTTAAGTATGTGTGCTTTGTGTGGGAGTATACTATCTTGTCCAAAGCAAAAAAGCAAGGTTTACCATGTTTATGTCCAGGAAATTTGGATCAAGATCAAATAGATTAGCAGGTTATAAGAGGATACTTACTGGAGTGAAATCAATTGGGAAATAACAAGATGTCACTTCAAACAGATCCT